AAATGAAACTGTTATAGTTCAAAGCCAGGACAGCTGCTGGTAGCTGCCATTCAGAGTGCTGTCTGTCAGTCTGATTTGCAAAATGCCTGCTTCCCTCTTCCCCACCCAGCCCACATTCAGCATTGAACCTCAAAGCTGTGATGTCACCCGGGGGCTGTATGTACAGCAAGTGCCGACTTAAACATCACTAGGCTTTTGAAACCAAATAATTGAAAAATCAGTTTCTTCTTACTTTCCTGCCAGTAAGACAGAAACACCAATGCTGAAAAAGATCTGCCTGTTGTCAAATCAGTGCCAAGGACATGAAATTATGGTCTTCTTCTTCCCCCCCCCCCTATAGTTTCTGATCTGCTTAGAACCAGTTTAATAAATTCAGATCCAATCTGAGTCAAGTGTTGGAGCTGGTGCCAGCTTGCCAATTGCTGTAGGATGGGCACAGAGCTCTGAAGCTAGGAAGAATAAAATGTTTCTATCTTACACATGTACTGTTTTGCATGCTTGTGCACACGTATATCAGGTGCCAAAAACTGCCAAATGTTATGAATTCCCAGCTGGCTCTCTCACTGGTGAGCTTTACGGTGTTCATAGTGGTTTAAATAATCATCTTGCTCCAGAGGTTTGGCTAAGAATACAGTCCTCAAATCAGACTCAAACTACCCTAGAAGCAGTGAGGCAGGAGGCAATGATTAAACGTGATAGTAGAAGCTTTCTTTGAAGTTTTGTCTGTGGTAATCTGTAATGCTTATGATCTTGAGTAGCCACGAACTGTATAAAGAACCATGCTTGCAAACTTCCATCTCCATGGGGTCAGCCATACAGGTGATGTGATCACTCTGCTTGTACATGCATCAGAAAACAGACAGGAGCTGGGTGTTACTTAACCACCACCAATAGTTGAACGGAAATAGGAGTTGTGATAGATGTTTCAGATAGTGAAAGGGTTAATTTTTTTTTTTTTTGTTTTGTTTTGTGTTCTGAGTGCCTGATGTAGCTACTGCTGCAATTATAAAACCAAATAGTCTCCTTTTGTAGAACTATTAGCATTGGCAATGATATCAAGCACCAATTCATCAAGAGCCACAGTGTCAACTTCAGTTTGGTAGTGCAAAACAAACAGAAAGCTGAGATGCTGTTCTGGGGAGAGGAAAAACTGCTCTGGGGAAACCACCACATTATGGGCACCTTCTTCTTTTAACAATAACATTTAATAGCCTTTTAAAGAGCATTTTTCCCATTCCCCCAAGTAATTTCTTGGCAGGCAGTTAAGAGAAAGGAAGAAGTTTTTTTCTAAGGGCTTTTATATGATACTAAATAAATCTAGCAGCCTTCAGAACAACAAACCCCTCCCCTGCTCATGCCTATTGTGCTGCCCAGACTGTCTCTTAATACCAGCCCTAGAGTGGCCTGATGGTGTCTGTCTGGTAAGTGCTGAGAGCATTATCAAACCACACTGAGAGCTCAGCTCTCCAGCAGATGCCAGATGGAACCAGCATCAAGTTATTATTATTATTTATTAATTACGCACCTGACTAATGCACAGAGCAATTAGCGGCAGTTAAAATGCACATTTTAAATGGAAAACAAGAGACCTTTTCTCAAAGAATGTATCTGTTATCCAGGGATAGACACCTTCTGAATGGAGAAGATTAGTCCAACACAAAGCAGAAGAAGATGGAGTCTTGGTCTTCTCAGTCCTGTGTCTCTCTTGGCTTTCTCTTTCCACAGTGACCTTGCAGACAGTGACCCTGCTTTCACACATAACTCGTGGTTGAGGACTGAAGACTACAGAATTTGCCATACTTTTTTACAAAGTTTGTCTCCTGTGTGTACAGAGGATCTCCCAACTCTTTTTGCTGGATTCCACTGGTGTCCACAGAAAAGCAAGTAAAATTTGCCTCTGAAATGGAACCAGATTCTGCAGTTGAAAGAAGGTGGCAGATGCTGGAGATGCAGACCACAGTCATGCATCTGAGCCTGATTCTCAATGAAGGGAAAGAAAAAGCAATTGTATGCAGAGTGACCAAGAGGTAACACAAAACGATAAAAAGCCTCTTCGGGCAACTAGAGGCAGCATTAAACTTGTAGGGGTCAAGGTACAAGATATCAGGCCTTTGTTCTTCCACTATCATTTGTAGGGATACTTAATCTGTGGTCTTTAGTGGAGCGGCTATTAGTATTACTTGCCCCAAAAATCAGTTTTCCATGCAAGGTGGAAGTACTGACGAGCAAGGAATAAGTGATGGTTATGCAGAGATGGGGTGAGGGATAAGAGATTCTGTGAGTCAGAAAAAATCAAATCAGAGAAACAAGCATCCTTTTCTTGACATTTTATGCTCTGCTGTTTTTTCTTGCCCTGAGAACTCATGTGGGCAGGATTGCTGTGGCTGAGGGATTTGAAAGGATCTGGGAGTGGCTGGTATATCGTGGAGAAGCCAATGCAAAAAACTTTTTGAAAATCTGGGAATGGAAAAACCAATGCAGAAATTTGTGAAGCTGTTAGGAGCAGCTTTGGGAAACATGAGTGAGGGGTCAGAAGGAAAGAAATGAATCTACTTGTCTGCTCAACCTCGTTCTTGGTAAGACAGATGGCTTTATAGTGGAGCCAGGATTCCTTGGCCCAGCCAGAACTGACTCAGGTTTGACTTCCGGAGGTAGTAGATATTTCTTGATATTTTGACCTCAGCTGTAAGCTTTCCTGAGGCATATTTTTTTTTTATTTTGAATTAAAAAAAAAAAATAGCACTTAATGCTATACTCAGCCTGTGAATTGGACTGAATATTCTGCTGACGATCCAGTTCTTGACATTTGCATGCCATGGAGTTATGTAGTGCAACGTGCTATACATTATTCATGCTTTCATGTACCTCATTTTCACTCTGTGTGACAGCACTTCCAGGATCAAGGTTCAGCACACTTCAGTGGACCTGCAAGCTTTATGGTCCTGATGCCTGGAAGCAAAACAGCAAAGAAGCATTTGGGGATGCGAGGTGTCTTTTGCCCAATGGATTTGCTTTGCATCGTGTTGGTTAACCAGGTCTCTGGTCAGGAGGCAAATAGGCAATATGTTTGGCTCAAGCATGCACCTTAATTAAAATGAATCAATTAATGCAGATTAAATTAAGATTCAATTTTAAAACAGCTTAGTTAAAGCAAAACGGATAGCTGTGTAGACATTTTGATCTTTTTAAACAAGACTTCTTTAGCTGAGTTTAAAACATTTAGGTCGACGTGAAAGAAGGTGCTTGCCAATTAGTAACAGGAGCTTAGCTCATCTTCAATAAACTGCTTTAAGTAAATCAGAGTAAGCTTGTGGGCAGATAAGGACTAAATAGGTCAAAGACAACTGGTGTTGACTTAATAGATTTGCATTTCTTGTCGGTTAGTTGAGAGCTGATGCCCTCACACTATAGGGTGCCTTTGCTGATAGTGCTGTTTTTCAGTGTTGTAACGCTGAGTTCCTGACCAACTATCAAACCCCACATAATGTTTTTTCCTCTTTGTACTGGCCTCCTTCCATTTTGAATAAAATTTGTGTTTGAGATGTCTAAAATTTAAATAAACAGATTACTTTTTGTGCCTATAGCCCTAATCCTGGAAGGTGGCGATCAACAAGTGCACACCTCAAGTCAGAAAGATGTTGGAAAGATAGATTTAAGACGCTTCTGTAATTCTCTGCTTCAGTGTAGGGATAGCAGAGCACTGGTTTCCATGCAACATCCACCCAGGTGGCTCTAAATGATGCTGCCAACAGCCCTTTGCAGCTGGAGAAGATTAACCTCATCATCCTCTTCAGCAGTCTGAGTGCTCTCTAGAAGAGGAGTACCTATAAAGGTGCTGTGCTGAGTACATGCATGTTTCCATGTTGTGATCATCTTTCAATAGATGACTTCTCCTCATGCTAGCTGCAAGGTTGACTGGGCTGCTGTAGGAATTGCAGAGTGCCTCTAGGGGAAATTCTGCACTGATAGTTGCAGGGAGCTTTGTATGACTGTAACATATTGATACTGATGAACTTGGGATACTTTAGTGGAATAACTCAATGCTATATGTCTGAGAGTTGGACTCCATATTTTTCCTTCTTTTTTATTATATCAAGTGGCTCTGGAATGGTTATTTGAGTGGTGAGAAGTATGTGCTCAACAGGTATTTAGTGCCTTGGTTTTTAGATGTGTATGTCAAAGACACCCAATGGCTGCATCACCCCCTCATGCCCTGATAATCTCTTGAGAAGAACAACTACGGTGTCATGTCACTTCCCAAATATCAACTGACCATTGGTAAGGCTTCTGGAAAAGCTATGGTATATCATTATTCTCATTATATACAGGAGAGCTGCTGGAAATTGGAACCCACGTCTTCTCGGGTAGACCATTTTACTTCTGCTGAAAATGTTATCTGAAGCCTGCATTCAGTTTACAAATGTTTTGGTTCCTAATGGATCCCACCAGTTCCTAATAACACGTAAACCATGTTTATCATGAAAGATAAGAGAGATGAAAACCCCAAACCCAGAGAGGAAAACAATAGTCAAGGGGGAAGCAGTAGGTGCAGTGTGCTGAGCTCAGCCCGTGCTGTGCTGAAGTTTTGTGGAGGGACACAGACATGAGGCCTTATGCTGTTTGGAGACTGCTGCCATTGGTATCACAGGGACAAGTGTCCTGATACTTCTGCCTGGTTCCTTTTGTTTGGCCCAAGCTTGTTCTCTGATTGCCCTCAGTGTATATAGGACTCTTGGATAGGAACACTCACCTGACACCTACATAACGAGGTGCCCTGTGCAGAGGGCAGCATTTCTATTGGCCTCCATTTTTTTTTTTTTTTTTTTTTTTTTTTTTTTGATGGGGGAAGAACTGTTGGATGTTTCTGGCACCTTTGAGCTCGTTAATCATAGCTGTGAACTCAGTCCCACCCAGGCATGCTGTAGGGCTGCCAGGTGTTTATTATTTAATCCTGATGAACTATTGGGCTCTCCTACCGAGGTGATCCTGTTGGCTCTGCTTCTCAGTTTTGCTGTGTCACAGTGTTAGGAAGGGGTTTTGGTGTGTTCTGTTCTGTTCTGCTGCGTGTGGCCAACTTTCCAGATTTTGGAGCGTGTTACTGGAATACTCTTGGAGGTTCTGTACCTTGTAAGTACTCATGGTGTTTTCTATGTGACTGTGTGACTAAAATTATTCTCCAAGGTTACCATCTGAGTGAAAATTCAGCTACCATTTCCATGCTGAATCTTCTCCTGTACTTGAAATGTTGTCCCATTTCATCCACCTGTCAATTTAAAATGACAGGTGTCATTTTCAGAGTGGGACTGGTGCTCTTTTACTTTGAGCCAACATCCCTCTTGTTTGTACTTATTATAGTCTTCTTCTGTATATATGTTTTGGGTTCTCAGTAATAATCTATGTTTCTGCTGTGCTTAGGAAGAAGAGAGTCACATTCGTGAATAGGGTCATAGGTGGTAAAGTAATCATAGTAAAAAATGAGGCTTGTACGAATCTGGGCCATGCTGCTAATCATGTAATAGGATGCAATTGAAATTAAGTTTCTCTTATTCTCTTCTTTTTTCCTTATTGTCATGAGTAATGCTGTAGTATTTCTAGGAATAGTGTGCAGAAAAAAAGCATGTAAGTGAGGAGTTAAAAATATTGATTTCTGGTACATATGATAGGAAGACTTTCCTTAGCTCTACAGGCAGACTCATATCAACTTTGAATTCAATTTAGGGATTGAATTTAACATGCATAACCCACTGGGTTTGAAACTATAAAGGGACTTAAAAATGTACAGCAGATAGGACCTTAGAAGTCTAAAGGATCCTTCACAAGATGAAAAGTATTTTATGTTGTTTGAGATACAGTAGTGTCTGAATTACACTTCAAAAAGCTTACCACATTCTTAAAATACATTTACAAGGAGAGATAATAATGTACAGTCTTAAATTTAGGCAGTGCATGTTCACCAATAAAATTTCATCATCTTGAATAATTTATGCTGGTGGATGTTATCACTGAACTTAAAGAGAAAACTGAAAAATGTGGAGACCCCCGCTTAGTGCTGATGACTGCATAATGTGGTGAGTGGTTGGAAATTCTTTGGGGAGTCCACCAACACGTTCTTCGTGTATATTTATAAAGAAACAGTGGTATTAAAGTTTCATTTTCTTCTGTTTTAAACCTAAGCAAAAACAGGAGTATAAAAGCCATCGAGGAATGCAGAAGTATTACTAATGTTTCAGAAAATGGAATTATTAACCATAACGCAATAATGCTCAGGGCCTGCTAGATGTTGCCTACTGATCAACCCGCCTTGAAATTATGTTTATTTGCTTAAGTGAGTTTTTGGTTTATATTCTGTGAAAACATTTTTTCTTTTTTTTTCTTTTCTACGCGTGAACCCAAAATTGCTTAGTCTGTGTCCTTTTCCCTCGGATACGATACCATAGCAGCAGCAGCACACGCAGTTGCTAGCTAGGTAGCTTATTATTATGGTCACACTCCAGCACACAGCATACTTGTTGGAAGTTTCCAGAAATATTGCACTGCAGTCATTTTCCTTGCCGTTATGCTAATGGAATCAGGAAAATCAATTGTCCTTAAGGAACAGGGGAATGAGATGTGCTGTAAATGCCACAGGATGAGTGATTGGTTGATTGCAGGGATGGTGATTCAAACGCGCCTCATCTCTACATTATCCTGATGAATTTTTATGGCCCTGCCTTTTTTTCTTCTATAGCTGTGGAGGAAGGTTTATGGCTTGCAGCTTTTTAGTTGATTGAATGCAGCTGGCATTGTTGCAGTGCAGAACAAATAGGTACTTTTTCTTTACAGCCTTAAAAGTAGATTGAAGAAATTGCACACCAACATTTTTGCAACAAAAGCATTCTTAAAAATGCAGATATTTTATGAAATTACTTTGCTCTCCTTCTCTACCGTCAGTAATCTTTCTATCAGAATAAAGGACAAAAATTGCTTGAGATTCTAGAGGAACATATCTCCAATTTTTTATTCTTATCACAAAGAAAGCTAACTAAGGGGTTTCATTAGTATTCATTTTAGCTCAATGTAATTTTCTCCTTCCTAGTAACAAAAAAAAAAAAAAAAAAAAAGAAAAAACATATGCCTGTAACACCAGTGAACCAAAGAAGGTCATCCTAAGTATATCAGCATTTTCTGTAACTCCTTCAGACTGTATTCACAAGGTAGTAAGGATAACTGCTTCAGCTCAAATTATAAGAGTTACAGAATATAGAACACTGTATAACACAAAGGATCTTATTTGATTGACTAAAACAACTCCTGCGATCAGCTGAGTGCTGAATTGCTGATAGCTAAAACCAAACACACAAGAGCTTTCTATTTATGTCCAATTAATTTTCTGATAATTTATTCTTCTGCTATACGGTTTACGTGTTACAGACAATATTCACATAACGTAGGGAGCTTTTTTATGCAGCATCTTCTACAGAGCTGGAAATTCAGCCTGTTTTTTTTTTTTTTTTTTTTTTCCCCATTGAATCAGTAATCTTGAAGAGATGTTAAAACTTGGGGTTATAGTATTTCCTTACTGAGTTACATAATTACACCATTACAACTCAGTTTTTAAACACTTTTCCATTATGCTTTTCATATATTTAATATTTTGAAACACAAAAGCTCTACAATAGCTATGCACTGTGACATCTTTCTGACATAGCCATGTCTGTGTATTTCTACCCTGATTTATATCAACTTTTTTATTCTTGGATTGCTCCTAAGACAGTGCCTTCCAGCCACATGATTACTTGCTAATATTACAGAAATCTATGAGAACTTAAGATGAGGTCAACAGTTTTTCTTTTGTGCCTGAATCTGGTGATTGTATCTGTAAGCGAAAGAGTGTGCTATTGTTTTAAATACAGAAGGGCTGATTCACCACTGTGTTTAATCTCATAATAAATTGCGTCTGTGCCAAGTGGGTGCAAAATATTACTGCTGATGTGCTTGGGGAATTCTGGTTTCATCACATTTTACACTGAGTTTGCACAGGTGTTAATATCAGCATGAGTGTAAGGACATGGGGAATGCTTCCTAAATTAAACATAACACCTCTGTATGGAAAATCAAGTTAAAATTCATGATATTGAAAGGTTTTGCTTTTACATAAGCGTCACTGGAATAAAAGATTTCTCTAAGATTTGGATCAAAACTGAGTTTAGCAAGAAACCTATGTAGCAGAGGATCGTGCATGTGTAACAGATGATAGTGCACACACCGGGTAAACACAGGTTTAAGCAGGATGTAAGTAATACACTGTGCTTGTCCTGCGAATTTCACCTACTGACAGCATTATAACGAGAAACAGAGGTGCCAGATCTTAGGGCTTACCTTAACAGAGCAAATGCAATATGATTTTTTTTTTAGCACTGTGATGACTCTCTTCACAGATGTCATGGATATTGATGACACTGTGTTTTAGTTTTTGCCGCCAGGTTACTGGAAGCAATTTTATTTTTATTCCTTTATTCATCCTGCTACCTCTGTCATCAACACTTCCCTACAAAATATGCACTCATGTTTTCTTCTTGTTTCAGATACATAGCCAGATAAAATTATAGTGAATTGCAAATGCCGCATCTTAGAAATATGTACTCTTTTTTTTTTTTCCTGTCAGATAGATTTGCTTAGATTTAATTTTGTATACATAATATTGTTCTTTCCAGTGTCCTGGTTCCACAATGAAGCAATTTCCTCCAAATTGGTAATTCATTAATGTGAAGTGGTAATGACCTTCTTAGCTTATTTGTTAGCGATGATTCTTTTCTAATCTGAAGCACATAAATGTAGTTTCATTAGCACGTTTTATTGTCAGAATTGTCGAAGTTTTTTGTGTTCTGTGTGGTTGGGATGTGTATCAGACACAGAGAAACAGAAGAGCAGGAGCTGCGTCACAAGGGCTCGCTGGCACAGACTCGTGTCTTCCGCTGTGTGTGTGGACTTACATTGATAAAGCCTTAAGAATGGCTTATTATCACAGTTACACAGGCAGCGAGTCAGAGCTAGCACTCTAACACGGGTGGTCTTTCTTGCTAACGTTTTGGTCAACCATCTAAGGGGATGCAGGGAAGGAGAAAGAAACCATTTTGAATATTAATGAATGAGGGAAAATCACTGCTCAGCAGATTACAAAGCCCACACTCATTCTGGTGAGCAGCAAAGAGAAGATGTTCATATGTCTGTTTAGGCAGCGGAGGGATATTCCCTGTGGAAGCACGGGGGCCCTAAAAGCCCCGTCTCCTGTGGACGTTTGTGTTTTCAGTGCATTTATTTACATTAGGGTTGTTTGAGCTGTATTATGCCTGATTGAACCAAAGTCTCTTGGAGAGCAAAGCGCTTTTATTTTGACATTTTCACATGGAAGTCAGCCATCACCTCTATAAGGAGAGTAAGCAAGATTTATGATGGGAAAATTGATTTCCTTTATACTCTTTTGTGAAATACATCCAAGCACAAAAGATAAGCTAGACCTCTTTGTTTGCTTCTTTGTGCTGCCTGATGTCAGGGCTTGCTGGAAGTGCTGTAATATTTTAAATCATAATGCAGTGCGGAAGGCAATTGGCTACTGTTTATGCATCTTTATATCTACATTTAAAAACCTTAGATGATGAGATCTTTATTGAGACCAAGCATAGCTTCCAGCCTGCAGGAAGGAGGAGCTCCCTTCAAGGTGGCACTGTGCCTGGCATGTGCTTTTGGGCCATCTCCGTTGTCCATTGACACAAGTGCTTTGGCTTGCCCATAGCACATTGCCTAGGCCAGGAACAGCAGTGATGTCCCCAGGGGAGGGAACAGTGTCTGTGCTCCACACTCCAGCACTCCCTGACTCCTGGTTTTTGGGATATGTTTGTGCCTCTCTCTGCTTCTGTAGCTGCCGTGGGGCTTCTGGGGGCTGTGAGCAATTTGGTCTAGTGGGAACTGTCCCTGCCTGGGGCTGGGGGTTGGAACTAGATGATCTTGAAGGTCACTCCTAAAACAAACCATTCTATGATTCTGTGTCCCATCTAATGTGTAGCTCACTTGAATGCAACACTTGGACCAGTTTTTCCAAATGCTTTATACACGTGGTTTGTGTGAAGCACCAAGAGAGGCCATGCTGA